AAAATGTGTTAGTGAGCTCCTATATGGTGTATGGCCTTTTGGTATAAACTGCTGTGGTATATAGGATACATTATTGTTGTCTTTATGCGAATATATAGAATCACGGAAATTTCGCCTTTGTATGTAATAATTACTTAAGTAGAGGAAGTTTCCCTCCATCGGCCTAGGCTACGATGCTAGCTGCAGATGTTCCACAAGTTAATTTCTGCCTTACGATGAGATATATAGGTCGGTGTATATCCTTCTAATAGGATCTAAGACCTCACGCGCTGAGAATGATGCATTCACTAAATAAAACTCCTCGCATTCCGCTTGGGCTTTGCAAGCTCTTTCAACCAGGTTACAGATTGTGTTCTAGAAATTCTGGAGAAGTTGATAGATAGAATTGGTCGAGCGCTCGGTGCCGGATTTGTAAAGCTTTTGTAGTTCGTTTAAAGTATATTCTGTGAGGTCTTAGAGTAGCTTGAAGAGAGTATAATAATCCTAGTAATAAGCATTCTATGCTTACTATTGACCGATCTGACGTATAATCTGTATAATGTCTTCCATTATGTTCATTTGCTTGAGGCGCTATTATCCATAGGAGAAAGAAGAATCATATTTGACTCTTAGGCCCTGCCTTTATATAATAAGGAATATCGATTACATAAATAGAAGGAGGATAGTTTGGATGCCGTTAAGACTAAAAACACCTATTGATAATTTAACGTAAACGTGCTCTTTTCTAAGGCTCTACTCTAACCTTTGAAGTGGTCATTAAAATATAATGGTACCTCGCTTCACCGTTCTGGTGATTAACACCGTATAAAGCTTTATTTCAACCCTTTATATGTCTTAATAAACACCTAGTTACCTAGTTAATGAATATAGTCTAAGCTCCACATTTGCCTATAAAACCACACGCTCGTCCGAAGAATCCTGCCTAAGACAGCCAGTATATATACTTTAACTTTATAAAATGGACACTCTCGATTACCGAAACCTACGTAACTACGCTATCGGTGCTATTATAGGCATGCTCGGGTTTTCCTATTTTGTCATTTATCTATTGATGTTCCTAGTTTTTCATTTTCCTGTATCTTAAGAGTCAATCCCATACGCTCTAATAGTGATCGCGTTTGGTGGAGGCATTGCCCTATGGTATCTGTGTGTTATCTTCCAGAATGGCTTTAGTGTATTCCAAAAGGAAGAATCGAGAAAAGAGCAAGATTCAATGTGGCTTGTAGGTCTGTTCCTAGTATAGACCGTAGCACTTCCGACGATCGCTTTTCTCTTTCTAGCCTAACCATTGCTATAGCTTAGATACGCGTCGGCTTTTACCATGATCGCTGTTAGAAGCCTCTCGGATGGTTATCTCTAAGATATAGACACGGGCGCATTTTCTAGTCGATTGTCTATCCAATTTGCTTCTATAGGCCTATTAGCCTTAGTGCCAACCATTCACGTATTAGCCGAGCCGCTCCACGCTCCCTCCCCACTGGCCGCTACATTCGGCCGACTAGTGCTTATCAACCTATTCGGCTATTCTCTCTACGCTTTGCGCCCTCTTAAGAGATTCGGAATAGTCTAGACTTGGCAGCCTAGTCTCCACGGCATGTACTTAGTCTTGATATATAGCCTCGTGGAGTATTCTAAAGCGGTCATGTAGGTAGCAATTCCTTATATATCTTGATAGCGAATAGCGAGTAGTTATAAGCAAGAGCGGAACTAAAATGCCAACACTTGGAATACCCTATTTTCTGTTGTCTGATATAGGGGTTATTGCCAGTGTTTTGTCTGGATCAACCATTAACCTTCACCTACGTGACTTAACCACCATATAGGATGTTTGCTCTATGTTGATGATACTATTTTCGATTCGTCTTTTACTTATTCCTTATATCATTTACCTTTGTTTCCTAGTTTGGCGGTTTTATATACATTCTAGAAGCAGGCAAAACCGTGAACAATCTAAGAAAATCTACTTTCGGAGCAGGTTAAAACCAGACCTAAGATAGCAGAGTCATTTCCGCCATGTCTATCGACGCTTATTTGCACATCGTAGACTATAGATCAGGGAATATAGTTAATAATACCCTATAGCTAGTTACCTGAAACCTATTGAGATGTAGGAGAGATAAGGGAAAACGGACTTAAAACCGTTATAGGTTTGGTCATTTCGCGCTGTTAGAACAAATATTCATCGGTCAATATAATATAGGGGCTCTCTAGCTCGTCAGTAAGAATAAGGGGATTTTGAGATTCAATAAGCAGCGCGTGTTTTGCTTTCTTTTAAGGTTTTAGTAATATAGCTATCCATTTTGCCGTATTTCGCGGCGCTATAACGGGCCCTAAAGCACTATTAGTTACGGTTAATGGACTTTGTAAGTCCTACTTCCGTATTTACCCATCCTAACTTTGAGACGCGTATTGACTTTTACTAAGGATAAAACACCGATAAAAACATGGACCATAAGAAAAACATCTCTATTATTCTAGTCTCGAGCCGAGAGATATCCTCTAGAGCCTATATTAGCAATAGCAGAGCAAAGGTGCGGGTTACGTTTTTAGCCAAAGGAGCAATGATAATAAGGCAATAGGTATTCGGTAAAGAGAGGCAACCATAGGTTGCTAGAACTGATAAGGAGAAGTGGCTTTATATAAATTCATTCGTTGGGTTATGTTCATTCAAGACTTTGCGTACTTTGTATCATTAATCAGCCGTCTTCAAGGATGGGATGCTATTTCATCAGAACCTTAGGAGGCTTCTAGGCATTGTAGCTAACACACACTGTTTTTAGAGGTTTCAGGGGCTGATACCTGGAAGAATCACAATAAACTCCAGCGAAAGGCTTAGTTATTCAAACATCCATCAACTTGCTGCATTTTTTTGATATCTGCCGGATAGGGCGATGCTGTAACAGTGATTGGCCACTCTGAAACGTTGTCTGGCTGCACCTTATCCCTAACAAAGCCAAATGCAGATGGACATTTGCTTTTGACCGCTTGATTAAGCACGATATGAATTGGATTAGAGACTATACTCTAGGCTTTCAATACGAAGTCTATTCTCGAGTCCGCACAAAGAAAGAGCAAGAATGTTACTGCGGAGTCTCAACTGAGGGTCTTTGTCTTTAGTGCCTCAAGATTGCGGAAAGATGTTTCTTATAAGCAGGAAATTGAGTATACTCTCTGTCAAGGAGGTCCTAGAGCAAGATGAAGAGCTCCTAGGGATTATATAGTATTAAATGGGCAATATGCCTCTATTTGAGTATATAAGTCTCGAGTTCTCATTCAAAAAGCATATCGGCTGCAATCAGTCATGGGCATGATTTCAGAAAACATCGTTAAGTCCGTTTTAGTGACCATTCTTCTTATTCTCAGCCTTGGAAGACTATTTATTTCGTATCGGTTTCCCTTAAATTGGCTATAGCATAAAATCGATTTAGCTTTGTGTGCCTTGCCTTATATTTTCTTCGCTCTTCTCACTAGATTGTTCTAGAGCAACAGGTTTCTAGCATGGGGTGAAGTGCTCTTCTAGGTTACTTCGATCTTCCCACCACTATATGTAGTAGGTCGATAGTATATGGAACTCGATTATAATAGGTCTCTTTTTAGGCTAACCACGCCATAGTACCTCCCTATAATCTTCTAGCAGCGGAAATACCTAAACACTCCTCGATTACTACGCACCATATATCCTTCTTTTACTACACTTTCCACCCTAGCTAAAGTGGCATTCTCTCTCGTTGGAACTTTTGTCCTAAGCTCTGTTCATCTAGGCGGCCTCTTTATTCTCTCTATGGACTACCTCGGTATAGCTGCATGGTATTAGTGGTTGTTTCGATAGTCAACTCTAGGCCGAGCTCAGCTGCGGTTTATCTCGTGTTACCTCTCTGTAGTAGCACTCCTTTTGCTTGTGGTTGCTATCATAGGCATGTTAGGTAAAACATGGATATTTGCACTGGAGGTAATCACAATCATTCCCATATTGCCAACAACGCTGACACTCAGCAGATCGAACTGGTCCTTGCCTTGGTATCTTCTTTGCAGTTAACCAAGTGAGCCACGGAGATGTACCTTTGGGTACCTCCAAATGAATCATGCCATGTCGAGGCCATGGGCAGGGTGACTCAGGCAAGGCTTTTAAAACAGAATTATATGGTTTCTCGCCTAAATGCAAAGAAATTCGCCAAGGAGACTGGAGGATAATTTAAATCCAGCCTTCTCATTAGCTAGAGCAAATTACAATCTGATTGTCCATGAACTCGGGAGATATACCATAGAGTGCTTACTGCTTGAAGTCGCTTGATTGTATATAGTGTGATCCCTTCCTAATCAAGTTGTAAATACAAGTACACTCTCTCAGAATCACGCATTTAGATCGCAATGTACTTCTTTTGACAACTTCTTGGTGTCCCCAATCTCCGAGACATTTCATTTTTCCACATGCAACTGTCTACAAAATGAACTACATAAGCAGAGCAAGGATCCTCTGACCAGCTGTCATCTTTATTTACAGGTCCGCTCGAAATGACTGCCACCACTTTATTCATTTGATTTTTCTTGAAGCTTTGCCAAACCCAATTCATTCTACACCTGGCCTAGATCAACTTGAACTGTCGAATAGGAAAGGGGTTATGATCAAGGCCCATTTTGACTAACTACATTAGGTCTGGAGTCACTCAAAATAGTGTTCGTGTTGGAGCACCTGTTTTGATGTTATTGTTCTGTCATCCTGATACGCACTAACTTACTTATGCATTAGGGTTATACCTGTATCTATAATACTGGATCGTGACCCACAGAACTCCATAACAATACAACTCTGATTGGAGTAAAGACAAGCGCTAACCGCTTTGGGCTAGTATGTATACCTGAATGTGAGACCTGAGCCATTTTCCGGAAGAAAGTATTTTCCGAAACCCGGGATCTGCTGGCAGAAAGCTGATCGGACCAGATCGTCAGCCGGGCTCTGACGCACTTGCGTCAAGGCATGACTTACCCTTTTCAACAAATCGATGGCCGACCACAGCTCTCCAAATTACAAACATCTTTACCTTAGGGCAGAAGAAGGACGGAAGCAGGAAGCAGAAGGGAGACGGCAGGAAGCAGAAAGGAGGCGACAAGCAGAAGAACGCAACCAACAGACCTCTTTCACAGAGCTCTTACAGAACTGCCATGACCTTCTCTCCCGCCAGTTGCGAGTCGAGACACCATCTCGCTCAACCACTGGAAAAATACCCCTTCCCACTGGAAAAGACTGCCCGACTCGATTGGAACATTGGGCCGACTGCCCAGAGCAGCTGCTAAGGGTCTACGGGTCTGTCTGCCAATATCTACAGTCGGAGCTAGGGCAGGCGCCACGCTTATTTTCGTCTCTACCGGAGTTAGAAGGACTTGGCCGTCGATTTGCCCGCAAACCACTCAGTAGCGAACAAGATCTCGAGGCATATGAGCGGTTTGGGGTGGAAGAACACGTCCATGATATAATAGCCGAGTTGTGCAAAATACCGGCGGCTTGTGACGAGTTTGGCCTCGGTGATGGAATCCAGTTCAGCAATCACACAAATTCTTTGAGCAGGAATGAAACCTTTGAAGCGGATACAAGCCAGCTGTCAAGCACGCCTCACCCACGACCAGACCAGTTCTGTATTCATCGTGTCGACGGCAACACGACCACCGTGCTGACGACCGTCGAGTACAAGCCGCCTCACAAACTGCCTGTCGCAACTCTTCGCATGGGACTACGACCAATGGAGCTGTGGAAGGAAATGGTCAGATCAAATAAAATACCCACCGAACAGGATGCGAAGCTGAGGTACAATGCAGAGCGGCTTGTCTGCTCTGCTATCGTCCAAGAATACCACGTGATGATTCAGGAAGGACTCGAATATTCCTACCTGACAAATGGAATTATTCGTGTACTACTTCGTGTTCCACGAGACGAACCCACCACGCTGTATTACTTTTTTTGTGATCCCCACAATGAAGTGGACCCAACAGGCGATACAACTCATCAGCTGTCGAAGACCTCTGTTGCGAGGGTATTATGCCTTTGTTTGATGGCCTTCCGTTCACCCACACGTGGACAAGAGTGGAGAAATCGCTTGCGTCCCGATCTTCATACGTGGGAAACAAGCTTTGAACATACTCGTTCGCAGATCCCGAGAAATGAATTACAGCTGATTCCTCACTCCGATAGCACTAACCCTGAGTTCCCGAGCCCAGGGTCTGGTTCGTCCTATGAATTACCGTCGTCATCTCCGCTGCCGTCTCCCTCAGAGGGCCGTCGAGTGCCTACACGCTCTCAAACAAGCTGTGCACCTTCGGAGATCCGACCGCGCTCGCGGTCACCTAACTCGTCCGGGTCCGACACAAATCAAACATCTGGCCATAAGCGGAGGATCAGTCAAGTCACGCCTTCACCGTCCGCTCGACGATCAGGTCGCCAGCAAGAGTCAGTGCATGATTTCGAAGATCATTCCCGACGCCACGCTGCACAATTTTGCACACAGCGATGTTTACTCGGCCTGCAGACTAGGAAATCCCTGGATGAGCTGTGTCCAAACGTGGGCTATCACCGCCGGGGCCAAGACGACCCGACTCAGCATCCCATCTCGGCTGAAGATTTGATGCTTTCACTCAAGGGCCAATTGGACGAAAATATTGATCGTTGCATTCCTCTTGGCGGTTGTGGCTCCTACGGAGCCCCGTTCAAATTGACTTGCACGAAATATGGTTACACGGTTATCGGTAAAGGCACCACTACGGGGTTGTGGAAAGAAGTTTCACGCGAAGCGCAGGTATATCAGATCCTGCGCAAGGCTCAAGGATCTGCTGTTCCTGTCTTTTTGGGAACGATTGACTTGGCAAAAATCTACTTTCTACATGGTGCTGGACAGATTCGCCATATGCTCGTAATGGGCTGGGGCGGTAAGTGCACATCCACGATGGAGCTAACGCAACGGCTTCGCCGCGAGATTTACAAATCGAACAAGGAAATAAAAGCTCTCGGGATACTACATGAAGACCTCAGGCGAGAGAATGTCCTTTGGAGTGAAGAGCTCGGGCGTGCTTTAATCATCGACTTTCACCGTTCTACTCTGAGATGCCGACCGGCTAAGCAGCGACCGGGGGCCGCAAAACGACGGCTATGTCGAGTGGAGGCAGGAGATACAAAACGTCTTCGGGTTTCGTGATAAGGAAATCTATTTTCTACCTGTTAAATTAGCGATTTTGTGACTCAAATTCCCATGGTCACCTATATATTCCGAGGCGAAGTGCGCTCCTTATTCATGTGCATCAACACCACCCGACTTATTATGTGAGCCGGACCCTCGAACTTGAGAACTTTTCGGAATGATATGACCATTATAAGAGCATTGCAGACTGTCATTCAATTCTGATACCTAAGACTGTCGTGTATAAACCGAAAATATCGCGGTAAAGGTCCCGGGTTGCTGAAAACCCTGACAGCAGAATTATCCGCTCAAGTTTGCCATGCATGTCGTTAGATATACATTCCGTCAACAGGACCCTGCCTGCCAAACTCCTTAGAAAATTTCTTGTTCGATTTCGCGGCTAATTCCAAGTATTTATAGCTGACTTGCGTTGTATCTGCCTCAGCGAGAGCGTGTGCAACTGCTGCGATATTTTTGATCTGATTGATGGCAGTCAGCAAGTGATATATACCCGATAGTATGGAACTCACCTCTCGTCCATTGAGAGCCAAAGATTCCAATCGCTGGATGTCCTCCTCCTCAATCACGGCAGGACCTTGGAGTGTTCGGGCCTTGAACAAAAAGGTTCTCCAGAGGCCTATGCGGAAGTCTTTTGTCAAATCTTCATACTCAATGGTCAAATGGATTCGGCTCAGAATTGCATCGTCAAACTGGATACCCCGGTTCGAAGTCAAGAAAAGCAGTCCCCGGTAATACTCTAGCTTGCGGAGAAAAGCAGTGACCAGACGATTATGGCTATCATGGAGCTCGGTACGACTTGCCATGAACGCGTCGGCTTCATCCAAAAGAAGAATAGCGTTGAAATGCTTTGCGATTTTGAAAATGATTTCAAGTTGTGATTCTAGTGCGTGGGAGTCCCCATGATCGACAACAAGCTCCCCTGCAGATATCTGAGAAAGTCAGCTAGGCCGATATGCACGCAATGAATTGTTGATACCGAGTAGAGAGGGAGTTTGAAATATTCCGAGGTTGCCTCGACGGTGAAAGTCTTCCCGACGCCTGGCGGACCACTAGCACGTGTCAGCTGAAGACTATGCAGGGCAGATACAATTCACCGACATACTTCAGCAACATATTGAGCCCTTGACCTTTACCGTCAATCACGTCGTCGAACGGTACCGTCGGTATCAGACCTAGGCGGGTTCTCGCCAATGACAAGAGGAGTGTCTTGGTCTCGGAGGCTATCTGCAGGCAATCGAACGATTCAGGTGACCAATCCACGTCCCTAAGAGCACTAACTGCGCACTCCACTGGGATCACATTAGTCGGATACTAAACCATTGTCGGTCGCGTCACATACAGAACATTTTCTCCTGGAAACTGAAACAGCAAACTGTTGGGCAGGCGACCAGTAAATCGGCCTCGCTCAGCTTTTGTGCATCCACACTGTCTCCTCGCATTTTCTCCTTCTCTCGCTCACGGCCCTCCATGAGCATTGCACCAATGTCAAAGACTGCAATTCCACCCTTATCCTTGACCCCAATGTCGCGGAGTGACGGTCGGGAGTAGTTTGGCTGCATTTCATGGAAAAATGCGGCGTCCACTGCCACTCGACTGTTGATGTTGACTTTGATAGCCTTCCCCTTGTTGATAAAGAATGCGCTGCCTTCGCAGTGCCGAACATGTGAGCCGGCCAAATTCCGGAACTTTTGACCTCTCTCGACCAAATCTTTCCGGACTTTCTCGTGACTTGTATGGTGGCAGAGAGGGAAGGCCTCAAGGCTCTCGATCGGCTTTGATCCTCGGAACTTGGCCACTCGCAGAAAGATACCGGCCTCGCCGAACTTGACTCCATTATAATCAAGAAATCGGCACTCGAGATTCAACCACGTCTCGTCATTGTGTGTCATCTCTTCGCCCGCGTCGAATACGACACTTCGCGGCTCTTTTGTGCCAATGCATGTGGTATAAACATGGCAACCAGGCTTGAAAAGCGCCCAGAGAAGGTCATATGTAATATGACCGTGCTGCAACATTGATTCGAGACGCTGCAAAGTAGAAGCATATGTGTGCTTGAGGTGGTCGATGAGCAAGAGGAGATGCTTCGCATGTGCCGACTCATGGTCCGAACTGCTATCCATGTTCTCCGCACATCTGTCGAGCTCTGGGAGGAAATGAAAAAGGAAATTTTGCTCGATCTAAATCCACGTCAGCGTGCTCCTTGATGATAATACTGTCTTAATTACCGATGGCTTGTCCTCCATCAGGCTAACGGCCTTGATGTCGTGCAGCATGTCTCGCAGGATGTCGCGTAAGCCTTCCGACTTGATGTCTATGAATGGAACTACCTCCTCGGACGTTCGGTCTGATCATACCATTAGTATGATTTCGGTCTGCTAGGTAAAGGTATTACGTACCAACACGTTCACGGACAATGAATGCATATTCAGCGTAGTCGTCCAGACCAATGCTAGTCTCCGTCGGCTCGGCTGTCTTGTATTTACATGCCTCTTTGTCCCAACTGGGCCTGTGTCAGCAATTCCCGAACAAGAAAGGGTCTGATGGCTAGCTCATACGTTTCCACGACTGTTTTGAATTGGGATGCCGATGCCCATTTCTCAAACGATTTGAAATCATCTGGAGTAGTACAGATTGAACGATTGAGATCGATTTCATCTACCGCCTGAGCAACCTCTTCCTGTTCATTTTTGGCAAGGCCAGACTGAGCAGGATCAGTTGCCGCGAAGGGTCCAAGTGAAGCACATTCATCGCTGGTGAGTTTTACCAGCAACTGCTTCAGTCGAATCATGTCGGGGGCTGCTGGGGACTGGTCCCAGGAGACAGGAGTGTTTGGAGGTTCTTGGTTGGCAAGGTCGGACATCTTTTCAAGGAACACAGCAAAGAAATGCTTCACGTCCTTTAACATCGTCTGAGACGTAGCTGCCCCCTTCGTTGGGCTATCCGGCGGCGTCATGCCTTGGTGACAGGGAGAAGAAGTCTCGTTCAATGCCATGTGCTCTGAAGGCAATCTTGGGCTGCTTTGAACAGGTGCCATGCTGTTTGATGGAATTTGTTTGTACGATGGAGAAGAAAGATTGAATCAGCAGGGTAAAAGCCGATATGAATGTAAACGAAGAACTCAATAAGGCCGAGCAGTTCCTCCCATTTTATATCTTCGTCGCCCACCCCTGCCTCATGTCAAACCCTTTAACAAAAGTACGCCGCAGATTTCATGAACTTGGATGAACGGTCTTGAAGGGATTGAGTTGTGCTTGTCGGATGAAGACTGGGATGCACGTCTAGGGGATTGATCATGCATGTGGAGATGATCCAATTGACTCAGTTCACAGCAAACGTCCAGATTAAGCGCAGCCAGACCAGCCTCCTGTGTCTTATCACACACACTAGCGGCGCTAGTGGGTCACTAACCGTTTCGAGGGCCAATCTTACGCTTGGCCCCCATTTCTCCCCCGCAGCAAGAACATGCATCTTTCCCTCCATCTTTCCCTCCATCTTTCCCTCCATCTTTCCCTCCATCTTTCCCTCCATCTTTCCCTCCCTCCAACCACTTTCCACCTCTTCACGTCATGGTCCAATCCACCAAACGACGGCGTCCTCGGAAATCACTTACCAGCGCAGAAGCCTGGAAGAAAGTAGAGAGCACCGCCTACGGACTTGGCATTGCCTGGCACCTAGGACCAAAAGAGTCCAAGCAGGTTTCCGAGGCATTTTTTCTGCTGAATCATCCATCGGAATCTACCATCCATCAAAAAAAGTATCTACTCTTTCTTCACGAAGTGCGTCAAAATTGTGGGCTACAAGGCGTGCGCTTGTGCGCCGCCGCCCTTGGTCAAAGTAATGTCAGAGATATGAATATTGGCCAACGCAAGGCGCTCGTATGTAAGCTGGGTGAGGAGAAATATCGGCCATTGATCAACAATCCATCGTTTCCCAGCTTTGTGGGTGATACACAAGTAGCAGGTCTCTTGGAGGGTAAGCATTTGGCCTCTTTACAGTCCTCTCCTTATCTTACAAAAAGTTGGCTGATAAAACCTAGAGACCTCACTGTGCTCCACGTTAAGCGAAGCAACCACCACTCCACTAAGGCTTTCTACCAGTAACGGCGAGTCCAATAGCCCAATTGCTTCCATCAGACATTTAGTGAACCCAGACGCTGGGTTCCTTCATATTCAGGATGCTAAGGGAACCTCAAGAAATTGCCGTTAGTTCCACTCCCTGTTTGTTATTTATACGTCCTAATTGGGTATTCAAAGCCCACCGGGGCAGTCTCGAAGTCAAAGAGTACACAACACCTGCCTCAAACTGTCAAGCAAACCCATACTTTACAACTCGCGTCCGCTTTTCACAAGACGACTGGCAAATCGGTACGGATCTTACGAACACGCAGGAAATTTTTGAGCATGCCTCCCTTGAGGGCATTGCTGCTGTTTTCAAAGGAATTATATCTGGCGCAATCAGAATCAGAACAAAATCTTTCCCAAACAGTGTGAAGACGTATTCGAAAGCATCAGTGACAACTGTATTTCCTCCTTGGGGTGGACCGGTTGACTGTCTGCTCAGTCTCGATATTTGTGAATCGAGGGTGCAAGCTCTTGCGATGGCTCTTTTCAATGCGACAGTGAAATGGGCGGAAAATTCTCTACATATTGGCTTCGAAAGAGGAACAACCTTGACTACTCCCAACTCTGAAGTTACTTTGAAAGGTGTGGGTGATGAAACTATTGCCGCCGTGTTCGGCTTCGAAATAGAGCAGGCGATAAAGGAGAGCCCCATTCGCCTGAGAGAGTTGAAAGAAGGTAGACTGATGACTGAATGTGTGTCAATGATAATCACAGAGAAAGGCGCCATCGTGAACCTATCGCTTGGTCTGGTTCGAGGCTTAGAAATACAAAAGAAGCTTTATACCTGAAATGCAAGCTATACAATATAATGAGACGCTTCAAACGCTTTCTGTCACTTTCCCCTTCGTAATATAAAGTTTGACACCATCCTGAGCGACGCCTTGTCCATTTGGCATGCCAACAAGTTTCCTTGTTTGTTCATTTCCTTCGTCATCAACTTCGTAAACAGTGACATTGCTTCCTTGCCAGTACACCATTTGTCCTTTTCCAATAATCATTGTCACACGATTCTCGGACACATTACTGAAGTTTATGGAGGAATCGAGGGATTTTTCTTCGAAAGCCTAACGATATATTAGCCAGGGAAAATCAAATGCGGTAGAACTGACCATTTAATCTTTGCAAGGATAAGATAATTCCAAACGGATCACGTTTCAGTGACTGCAACGTTGCTCTTACACAATAAGACAAGGATGAGTCATAAAGAGAACCCCAATAGGCGCTTTTGTGCGAAGTGAACGAAGAGCAGACTGTGCTAACTGTGCCTAGTCTTAATATGAGCTGCAACCCAGCAGAGAAAGTGTAGCGTGAATACTCACCGTAGTTGTCGGAGAGATTTTTTCACTAGATTTGCGTTGATTACCCCGTTTGGTGAGTCAGTCATAGTTGTCGCTGAGAAAAGGGGTGGCGGAAAATACAAAGTGATCATACAATCTAGAAAAACGATGTGGGGTGATGTGCACGTGACATCCTCTTGGTCGCGGTTTAACAGATACCCCGCGTTGGGCATCGATGGGACCGTGATCAGGAAAGATTAGAATGTGTTGATGTACCAACGTCTCACTAAGGCGGAGAGAAGGAGGGCGACAATTTTTGCCAAGATACTGTAATACTGAAATGGATTCTTTCATTTGTTATGTGGCTCATCCACCCATCATTTCCGGAGCAACAAAGTCAGTACCACCAGCATGCCCTTAATACATTGACTCATCATCGATGCTCTTGTCTGCTCGGGTCCCCTATACCGATGCGATCGCATGCTGTCTATCACTTCCACATGACTTGTTCGCTTCACATTCTACTCGAGTATGAGTGAATTTGAGGGACCTCCTGTTGTACGATCCGAGTCAGCTAGGCTTACCACTTGGACGAGTTGTTATGACTTACCTGTTCATAATGTTCGCAGAATGTTCGCTTGAGACGAGACGATCAATTAGCTTCGTGGTCATATCTTACCGACGAGATCACTTACAATTGTCTTCATCAATGCAGTCACCATCCATGCCATGTTGACATGATGTTGTCTCCAGTTCGTCGCACTCTCCGGCTGTCACTTCGAAGAAGCTGCGCTGGGTGCACCGGGCAACTTCTGAGAGCCAAAGGCGCGTGACGAACCACCTGCGACAGGAAATTGTACAGTCGTCATGGGGTTAGGACCTCGCGATGCGGACGGCCAGAGGTTCATACACTCCGCCGTTCAGTGTGAAGGCGGTGAGGTCGAGGGCGGAAGACGCGATGGAGCACGCGTCGTAGTGACGCCTTGGCCTTATCTGGATCCGACGATAAAAGGACTCCCCACAAGGATGTTTCACGGGTGGCGACGGGCTGCTCCTATGTACAATGGCATGAATCTAGTAATGGTATTCGTGTTCTGGGGCACATGAATTGGCGCAAATAACTGATATAGCGCAGCAGCGGGGGCGATAAATCACTCACATTATCAGGAAGAATGGACCTCTCAAGCTTCTATGCAGCGAAGCACGCAATCGGATATTCGCACCTTTATTTAGCCGCTCGTTTGGTTCATATACCTCACCTACGGTATGCTGCGTAGTTTGGAGCGACGGGGCCAGGAATAGTGTGTAAGCCATGGCTTTGCGCGGAGCACTGACTGGGATGCTTAATCCTCAAGGGTCACTGTCGTTCATTAGCTTGTAGATCGGAGAGACATCTCAGGACTCACCTGTTCTGGTGGACCAGGGACGAAGAGACAGCAAAGAGCTGTGATCCTTGCGCTCGTGCATTTTAGTCGAATGTCCTCGGTTCTATTGAAATCGCATCGTCTTCCTGATCAGTAGAATTCAGACAGGTCAGGCTAAGATTAACATACCTGCGACGGGGATATTCGCGCTTTGTCTTGGGAATACACATAGAGGCTGTACAGTAGATCAGCTCAGTCGGCTGCTATAGCGGAGACATCTTTGCATAGACACCTTGACCGGCTAATCCAAAACTCGTATCTTTAATCGGCTGCCGTGAATGGCAGTGCATCTGGTGGGAATCATATCTTTCACAGGCACTGTCTGACTTGCTGGTCCGCAATGTATTCTATAAATGTCAGCACAGTGGAGATTCAGTACTGGGTGGGGGAGAACTTATCAAGTGACTCAGACACAAGCCTGCTCGACTTTGCGTAGTCAAGTGATCAAATTGTAGAGCAAATCGCCGGGGTAGAGGACATATTTATAGACTTCTCGGCTTCTGACACTCACAAGCTCGAGAGAAAGCGTTGAAAGACATTTATCGTTATTGAGGGCTGTTGAGACCCATGTCTTCTTTTTACCGCAACTATTTGCAGCGACATTCTTGATGCCTTTAGATGCTCAGCGAGAGAGACGAGTAAGAGTGGTGTTGAGAAAAAGGGATGCTGAGTCGGTCAAGAAACGTTGGCTGACTGTTGAATCCTTCACGGCTCTCTAAAATTGAGGCACTGAGTGCTATTTGTTGTAGTTCATAGGTATAAATTAATTGTTTTCTCAGAGGGAGACACGAGGCTATATATATATACACAGTGAAGGCATCTACTTGCATCATGTATTTCTTCCACGCAGAAAGAACTGGAAGCTTCTTGATCTGCAACAGCCTCATATCACAACAATTCCCAGAGTCAAATCAAGCAAGAGAATTAGTCAAAATGCGAGCTGTTGTGATATGAGGCTGGTGCAGATCAGGAACCATGCCGAACCATCGGAATTAATCCCGAAGTATGTATACGAAGAACCAAGTTAGATTGGCAATCAATTCGACCTTCTCGTTGTATATATAGCCTCATGTTTCCCTCTGAACTAATAATAATTAACCTTCCTTTCAACTACAACACGAGCCACCAAGCCCAGCAATCGAAGGCGGTGAACAGGTCGTTGAGTTTCGAAGGCCAAGTCGTATCTCGCTACCCCTGGCTATTCCAGAAGTTATCGCTAAGCAACATTACGAATCACCGTACAGTCCAACGGCAAACTTTTCCTTCAGTTTCCTTTCTTATGTTCAACTGACTCTTAGTGAAGACAGGTTGACTTCATCATTACGCCCCAAATGGACCCTACGCCAAAGCCTACCTACCGAGACAAACTGTTTAAATCAACGACTCGAATTCTGGAAATCGCGAAATGTTTAGGCTCTAACGAGGTGATTGATACTGTCTCTCTTGAGGATGGGGTTTTCGCGCTACATGACACGTTGCTGCTTTCTCGACGCGAAGATGTTTCGCTGCTCCCTCCATTTTGCTTGGTCTGCCTAGAAGTTTGCCAAATTTTCGTCAATTCAATCACACCCGATATGAACGTGTCAAATCTCAAAAACATTTCAGTCAATGGGTACAGTCCATATCAATTGACTCCAGTACTTTTGACTCTGTTCCATGCGCTCAGCACCTTTGTCAATTTTATATGCTGGTAGGTAAAGAAAGCCAACTTCGAAGGATTGCCTAACCGCTCGATTAGTGTACCAATCAAACTCGGTGGAGACGCTAAGGAGCGATGCTTGAGCTGCGTCGCTCGCGCGGTCCGCGATCTTTATAAACACAAAGCCCATCTCGAAACTCTCGGTGACTCTGAATCTGTTTTACTACAACGCTATTTTACGGTCTACTGCATGATGATGTTCTTTGATTGTTTATGCGCAGTTGGCGTCGATACATATGGTGAAAATCTCTGTGATTGCGTTCGGCTTGGAAGCAATCGGACTTCATCAAGATTCGATGATATTGTTGGTATAAGGATCGGAAAGGATGCTTTGGAACACTTCACCAGCCTTGGTGAGCCATTGTTGGAAGAAATTTCTCGGAGGCGGGGCACGAGGGATGATCCGATATTGCAAGACCTTTCGGATAGATATGAGGATTTGGAAAGACGTTTTCGGACCGCTATGGAACAATTAGGGCATGATCAAGTGCTAGTGTCACGCGAAATAATCACGAGAGGATACCGGCTAGAATTCAGCGTGATGACTAGTACGGCATTGAAACACTGGGGTCATTGAACAGATGCACGTAATAAACGAGGTTTCTCGTGCGAACTACGAACTCGAGAAGTTTTCAGCGAATACGGGTTAAGTGCCTTAGCAGCTCTTGGGTCGATCTATTCTCGCCTTGTCTGGTGACCTGCGAGAGCACTCGAAACGGAGATGGCATACGGCTTGAGGTGGTCATTACAAAGTTCACGTGCACGTCGTCAGTCAAATCTCAGTTGCGATTCAAGATAACTCCGTCCTTCACCGTGATTTACTTTTCAAATTGCGGTGGAACAGGCCAGATATTCAACACAGCCAGGTAAAGGGTTCTTAGCCCTATGGCTGTGAGTGATTCTACTAGAGCCACCGGAGACGGGGAGATATCAGACTGGACAATCCTGCGAGCAAAGCTTCCGTTTTCTTCGATCTGTCCCGGTGTCATCACAGGCCAATCAAGGCCATCTGAAGCCCGTTCGTGGCGGCCAATATCATGTTTTCTTCCCCATTCACTAAAACGGAAGTTGATTGCGAAACGTTCCTTGATGGATTCACCAACGCCACGTACATAGACAGGACCTGTGTCGCGGACCCAGAGTGACTTTGGGACTTCCCCTTTACTGTTGTCATTCCAAAGAAGGGCGATTGCTTCTTTCTTTACGGAATACATGGAATGATGTGCAACCTCGATTATATTTCTCACGCTGAGGCTTCATTGCTATCACAGCCTTTATTATAGTAATATGTACTAGAAATAGTATATCATAATAGTTGGCCACCGTTCTTTCGACCTCGCAATTTAGCGCTCCAGCCGATGAAATACTGCTATGGAACAATTCTCGGTCATACATTTACCGTTCATGTTAGTAGATAGCTTTATTCCGGCATCTCAGAAGACTGTTTACGTTATTTTGCAACTATCCGGCCCGATCCTGACCGAAGGATACCTGGCATTCCTAGGACTGATGTCAAATTACCAAAAGTCCCTCGTTGTACGGCGGGGCGAGCCCGATATGTATAAAGCAGCAAAGGGATTGCAACATCTGCGAAGTGTGAAAATCTCACACGACTACGACGCAGCTTGTGTTCTCTTCCTGGGCCAGACTATGTACGTGTTCAATGTACTCACGGCACCATACTCCAGTACCGCCCACTCTATCGTTCGGAGCTCCTCTCATCTCGGCCAAACCATGGTTTCCCAGATTGATTACAACGCCCATCATGGACACAATAACCATGTCACCGATTTTGGTCAACACGGTCGAGTGTTTAGTGCATCGTGAGATCCCTATAATACGACTCGATCCTCAGCGTCGCGTCATCGTCGACCGCTATCTCGGTCTTTGTGCAACACTTCTCCCTCATTTCTATGACATCTGCGAGTGTAGCAATGTCTTGAAGATAGAAGCTCCTGCTATCGGATCTGAATCATACTCGGCCATTCATGACCGACTGGATGGAATAGAGGAAACAATCCGACGTTGGCGACCCCAAACCCCTACTGGGTTGTTCAACAGCTACGGCCAGAATGCGGTTTCATCAATGGTCACACAAGCAAATGTGTATCGTTTGGCAGGTTTATTGATCATCCACCGGCTCCGATATCCGCTAGGAGTCGAAGACGAGGCAGGGGGAAACTTGCAACTAGAATATTTTCTGAATTGGCATTCTTTGCCAAGTCGGCGGTCAATTTAAAGGAATCTAGCGCGTTACCTGTGGTGCTTCCTTTGACGATGGCTATGCTTGAGATAAATGGGCCTGGGGAAGTTTTGATAGATCGCTTGGCCACCTCATTCACAGTCCAAAGTGCAAGTGCATCACGGCTTCAGGAATTTGTGAAGGTGGCCAGGGCATCAAGGGATTCTGGATATCAGGGCATTTGGTTTGACTTGGTTGATACACATCTTCGTGTTGCGATACCGCCATAGCTCTGAGTTGGTCTCAACGGCAATCCTTTTATGTATAGTATTATTTCAGATAGCTTTGTTTTATAATGATGTTGACTTTTCTGTTCCTCTATTGAATAATGGTCATTATATACGCCGGGTCTAAGGGCATATACCGATTTCAACACATACATTCCCACTATTCTACGTGTGTATAACGAGAAAAGAGTATAGGCTAGCGTTGAGCATTGAGGCTGGAAAAAAGATTGAATCGTGAAAATGGTCATGCCAATTTACAAAACATTCCTGTTATAACTATTTCCAAACAGATACATCTATTGTGGTTACCGGAAGGGATAAATCCTCGCTGGAGGTTAGCCTTCCTTCACCTGCTGTAAATTGCATGACTATTATCCACCCATGAAAATGGGCCCCGAGGTCAAATACCCAAACTAGGTAACTCCAGATCCCTCCATGTTGAAAGCAGAGCTCATTCATTGATCGGACGCTTCAGGGAGAGAAGGGGTGCGATCTGATTGAGCCGTCGCTACCCCTCTCAAACCCTCCCACTCATGCTCCAGCATAGACAAATTGACAATATCATGCCAAGCGCGACGATGGTATATTGCCTCACGTTCGCAACCTTCATCCACAAATCCAAGCTTCCTGTAAAGCTTCAATGCATTGTGGTTGAACGAAAATCCACCTATAGTGATTCTGTGCAGTCCAGCATGCTGAAATCCCCAGTCCAGTGCCCAGTTAATAGCTTCTCCGCCGTATCCTTTCCCCCGATACCCGTCCACAAGTGAAATTCCTATCATCGCATTGCGATGATGGGAGTAACCCGATCCAGTCAAGCTGAAGAGGCTGATGTGGCCAATTGGGACTGACTTGGAATTTTGAGCAGGTCGGTTCAAAGTTTGAGTCTCAGTCGAGGATTCCGTCTCTGAGTCGGGGGAATTTTGAGGAGGAAGACATATAATCACCCCCAGCATGGATTCTTGGATAATTTTGATGAACTCCTCTGCAGACTTCTTGTGAGATGGGCGTGGAAGACGTCCAGTGCTCAATGTTTGAATAGTCTCATCGTTGATAATTTGGTTGTGGAAAAATGCAATGTCCTCTTCGGAGCTCTCTGCGGCTCGGTAGACGAGCCGGCTGGACTTGGAAAGTTGTCCAAGGGCTTGGGATGCCATATTGGAAGATCAGAAGTTGAATCAGAAATCGGTGGAATATAAAATCTAGGGAATCATTGCCAACTAAATAGTAAAGATAAGCTGCCTGACCTTTAGGTGTTAACCAATGAGCTTCCAATATCAACGCCAATGTTGCATTGGGGTAAGCGCTATTAGTAGCTAGCCCTTATAGGGTAATCCCGGGGTCCCAATGAGGTATTGTAGCGGGGTCTCTGAGGAGTCAGCGGAAATATAAATTATTCTAGCCCGAGGCACCAAAACCATAAGGTACATGACCTTGTTTTCTTTTCCTTTCCTCGCAGGCGTATACAAATCGAATGATATATGGCTTAGACACTCTCAAAGGATCCTATATTTAAAGGTTAATTTTATCTCCTATTGACATTACAGGAACCAAGCCTCACGAGTAGTGACTGATTAGGTAGGGTTCTAGAGCTCAGCTCTGATATGATGATTGACATCCTTCTTGCTTCACTGCCTACACTGAAGCGACTCTCACTTCCAATCATCTTGAATGTACACAACACTATCGGGATTTTTCAACAAGGCAACAAAGGCCAAGGACCGTCGGCCTCCCATATTGAACATTGGATGTGGGACATACGTGGACGTGGATGCCGTGGGGGATTCAAGCGAAAGCTTTATCAAGGCATTCATTTAGCTTTGGTTGATAACCTACTTTACCGTGTGTGGCTGGGAAGTTCGGCGGTGGCTACCCGCATGTCCTTTTGTGGGAAACCGACGAGAGACAGTCCCGGGCAGATATTTGAACTGGAAGATCATCCAAGACCTCTTTTTTGACGAGCCACTTGAAATGACTGCGTGAATTCCAAGTCCGAGGTCATCAGATGAGACAATCATTACAAAAATGTTCAAATATTATTCTATTATGTACTGCAGTGACAAAACAAGGAAATCATCGTAGCAGGAATGCATAAATACGTAACGCCACAAGCACTCCAGGGCCATATTTGAGGTCTCAAATAAATCCCGATGCGACCCATGATCCTTCGTCCAAAACCAATGATAAAGGCTCTTCCACTCAGCCGCTTCATCCTCAACATAATCACCGACCAGCTCAGCCGTCTCATAAATTTAATCAGAAACCGATGAGACAGGACCCTTTACATTATTCGCACTTCTGGCAGCATCAGCAGCGCCTGCAGAGTTTGATGTCATATCAGCAGCGACACCACCAGAGTTAGCGTTCAGCAGCTCCTCGGCACCCTCCCTTGTTCTCTCCGCTAGGTCACGAGCTCCTTGGCGTGCAATATCCGTGTACTCCTCCGCCTGTTCGCGGGCACGCTGAATAAGTTCATCGGGCGTGGGATAGCGACGTCTCAGCATCAAAAGAAGATAGTAACTCTTGACTATAAAAGCGTACACGGCGTCTTTGGCGAGCATTGTAAAACCGTGCGAAAAGAAGCCTTTCAGCACTTCACCATGAAGGCCGGTGTAGAGCCCTGGTATACCGTCCGTGCGGGCGATGGTGGCGACGGTGGAAAGTATTTCGGGGGTAAGAGATGCGAGAAGGGAGGTCTTACCCTTCTGTCCAGTTCCGGACTTAGATTTCGAGTCCGAACTCATTACTTGAGCTCTGGTTTTCGCAAGGGAGAAGGGATATGTGATTGACGAGGCGGCGACTTTGCTTAGGGCCGCTAACAGGAATGTCAAAGCTGGAGGCGGTTTGTCGCGCTTTGAGCGTGGGAGGAGGGTCCGTTTCAGGAATTCATTGAGGAAGAACGTGAGAGATGGATTCAGGGTGAGTATCAGTGTGGCCGAGTATCCGGACCAAAAGCCTAGAATACCCTTCTCGGCGCGGATGCGAGCTGCGATGTCACTTGTTGACAAGTTCGTCCCATTTCCACCCTTGCGGGCCGCAGATATTTGCTTGCGCGCGACGATATTCGACAGTGGCGTGGTGAATAACTTGACAAAGGAGCCAGCCAAGATACCGACGGCAAGTTCGTCGATTATCGGAAGGACAATATTTTTGCTCTTGGCGGCTCGCTCTACACCTACATGTGCGATTATCCTCTTCTGGCGGATGGCACTATATGCAAGAAAGAAAAGGAACGAATCCGCGACGGTCTTCCAAGTGTCCTGCGCCAGACCAGGGTAGAAGCCAGCGACTCCTTGCTGTGCATATATCTTGCGGGCAGCATCCACCACGCTGGTATATTCTTCGTCATCTTTCTCGTCATCGTCAGATCTCTCGCTCGAGCTGCTGCTTTTCCGTTTCTGGGTTTGTAGACGGGCGACGATGACATTGATGGGGTAGACGACAACATTGAAGATGGCTGCGCCGACTGCGCCGGCAGTTGCATTCCTTATAGCTGGGAGGGCTGGTCCACGGAGGCGGCAGATTTCCAACCATGCTCTCTGTTGCTGATCCCAATGCCGAGTGCCTGGTCATATGGAATCACGTGTGATTGACAGTCGCTTCGCTAATTTTTCATTTCCGTCACACCTCCGCGAATTTAGTCGTGCTGACCGGCGAAGCGGTGCAGAGGTGGACGGGTCTCGCGGTAGATGAGCCCCTGCTAGTCTGGCTGAGTGACGAGGCCCACCAGTGGGAGACGATTCGCTTGCCGTGTGGACGGAATGTGTCTCGGCATCCGACGAGAGGATTGGTAAAGGGCGACTGAAGGCGTCTAGGGCTCCTTCGTTACGACTGTGGTCATCAGTATCTTGGTCGTCGCAGAAATAGGGTCATCCACACTTACCACTCGCAGCATGATATGCTAAAACCTGTATCTCGCCTTTCCAACCACTCTTCCGCGCAGGATAGATGTGAGAGCGATGTGCACTGACGGCAGCGCAAGATCAAGCGCTTATTCGCATGGTCTTCATCGTCGGTTAGGCAGAACACACAGTGGATGCTGTCTACCTCTTCGCTCGGGGTGAAAATCTGGAGCGTCAAGTCTTGGACACCCGCCCGGATATTAGTTGCCGATGACAGGATGGGTGGGCCGTGGCGAGATCTAATAGATACAATGCAGGCGTTTGCTTCTGCTCTTAGCTCGGAATCATGCTGCTCCTGCCTCAGTCTTTTTCGGCTGGCTCCGCGCGAAAAGTCTTCCTACATGCATCAGCGTGCTCTTTTTGAGGAATGAATGCGTAGCTGACCATTAAGCTGATCGGCCCGATGACGTTGTCTCCATTTGTTATTTTATACGCCTCGGCTATCCTCAGACCTCATTACCCAGATTCTGGTTGGAACTCACCCAGAAAACACAGCGCGCCATGCGAGCGTAAATCTCAGGTAGGACTAGAGGGAAAATTGACCTATGGTGTAAATTTGCACGATGGACACTTTTTCGTACCACGGGTGTTCGCAGCCGGCTGCTTGTCTCTGGCACATGGCTTTCTCGGGATCTCAGTTTACACATGCTTTACAACGTGGTCGGAAAGCCGGGTTGACACAAAAAGAAAATTGAGCGAGATTGCACCGGTCCGTGTGCCTTGTGCCGCCGGCAAAGGATTTGGGTGTCGTTGGTCCGGAGCCAGACCCATAGCTGGGCAAAAACCTTGGCTAGCGCCGGTTTGGGAGACTTGGCGAAAAGTTTTCGACGTCATGTGGGGGCGAAAAGGCTTCGGCGGCTAAAGGTAAACTACAATAGTAGAATGCAAGTTTGCATAATGTATATATCATGTCGAAGAGAGGAGAGTATGCTATGTAGAATCAATTCAATAATAGAGATCCAGCCCTATGCTGAAATTCGGACTTGCCCAGGTGCGATCTCGAGCTTGGTCATTCGCCCAGAGCAGCGCTGGAGTGGACCCGTGGCCTGGTGGACCCGCCAATGGATCCCGCCAAGTGTGCACCAACCTTGGTAATGCCCCACCAAAGGCTCGCACCAAGCGCCAAGGGGAATGATTCCCCGCGTCTCTCCGCTTCGGGAACCCGTAGCCTTCGCTGAACTTTCCTGTTCGGATCCCGACCGTGGTTACTAAGTCCGATATTTAAAGTTACCGTATTGACCGTATTGTTTTACATTTCGGATGGAGGTGCTTGCTATAAGGCCGCCAATCTGCCCCGGGCTTGCTCCAGTCTTCTTTTTTTTCCTTACTAGTTCTTCCCCAACTTCCTCCCCCCACCTCCGCAAACCGACAACTCTTACTTTGTCCGTACCATCAACATGTGGACGACCACCAGCGGCTTGACCGGTCGATCGCTCCGGGTGAGCATCACCATCGCCGCTGTCATGGGTTTCTCGCTCTTCGGTTACAACCAGGGCATGATGGCTGGCCTCCTCAACGGCGACCAGTTTGTAACCTCCTTCCCGATCCTCAAAATGCCCAAACCTGCGACTAAGTCGCAAACCCATTACGTCAACGTCATCCGGGGTGCTGTCACATCCTGCTATGAGCTTGGCTGTTTCTTCGGCGCGTTGTTCTCTATGTTCTTCGGCGACAAACTCGGCCGCACTCGCCTGATCTTTGGAGGTGCCAGCATCCTGATCGTTGGTGCCTTGCTTACAACAGTCTGCTTCACTGGTAAATGGGAAGTCGGTCAGTTCGTCATCGGCCGTGTTGTATCAGGCATTGGAAATGGTATGAACACGGCCACAATCCCGGTCTGGCAATCGGAATGCTCCGGTGCTCACAACCGTGGTTTCCTCGTTTGTTTCGAAGGTGCGATGATCGCTGGTGGCACCTTTATTGCCTACTGGGTAGTCTTTGGTGTCTCGCACGCCGCGGATACCGTCCAGTGGCGATTCCCCGTGGCGCTCCAGATCTTCTTCGCTCTGATGGTGGCTGCCGGTGCCTTGTTGCTTCCGGATTCCCCCTCGTGGTTTGTGAATCAAGGATATGACAAGGAGGCCTGCTTGGTTCTCGCTAAGCTCAATGACGCCGCTCCTGATTCTGACAAAGTCCTTCACGAGTTCAACTTCTTGAAGGCGGATGTGGAAAACTCGAAGAAGGCACAGTCAAGCTGGAAGACGGTATTCACGTTCGGCAAGACCCAGGAATTCCAGCGCCTTCTTGTTGGTTGCTCCGGCCAGTTCTTCCAGCAGTTCACCGGTTGTAACGCCGCTATCTACTACTCGACGCTACTTTTCCAGGAAAACCTACACCTGCCCAAATACCTGTCTTTGATTATGGGTGGTGTGTTCGCTACCGTCTACGCCCTTGCAACCATCCCGTCCTTCTTTATGATTGAGAGAGTTGGCCGTCGCAACCTATACTTGATTGGTTTCCTGGGCCAGGGTCTCAGTTTTGTCATCACATTCGCTTGCTTGATTAAGGAGAGTGAGGAGAACGCCAAGGGCGCTGCCGTTGGCATCTTCCTCTTTATTACCTTCTTTGCATTCACTCTCCTACCATTGCCCTGGATCTACCCACCCGAGATCAACCCCCTCCGTACCCGTACTGTGGGCGCGGCGGCATCGACCTGCACCAACTGGATGTGTAACTTTGCCGTGGTCATGTTCACCCCTCTTTTCGCTGGCCAGAGCCCATGGGGCGTTTATCTCTTCTTCGCACTGTTCAACTTTATCGGCTTGATCTTCGGCTTCTTCTTCTACGTTGAGACCGCCGGCCGTGAGCTTGAGGAGATCGACATCATCTACGCCAAAGCCCATGTCGAAGGCAAGATGGCGTGGAAGGTTGCCAACGACATGCCCAAGCTCAGTTTCGAAGAGATTACTGAACAGTCTCGCGCGCTGGGCTTGAGTACCAACGAGCATGCAGCAGCTGAGAAGAGCGAGCTTGGCCTGAGCAGTGACAGTGGCCAGGAGATCGAGGAGGTCCACGAGAAATAGTGGCGCTCTTTTCGGGCGTGCTATAGCTGTGGTTGAAGGTGATGGTGATATTCGAAACTGTATGTTTTCCTACTTAACGTTCTGTTCATTTGTTATTTCATTTGTTGTAGATATGTCAATATCTTTCAGTGTATATAATTTTCCAAGACAAGGAAGGGATGCTCTTATAGATTCCAATCAGTTATACTACTTTGCTGGCACCTTGAGCTTGTTCAACAGATGAATAATTATAGCTTTGCCTAGTAACGAGAATTAGTAACTTATTAGCAGCGACTTCGTACGAGATTGCCATTGTTTCTTATAGTGAGTTAGAGGCAGGCGTGGAAATGCCTTCGACATAGGGCGGCTGGCCAGCCAGAGTAGGAATCGCTCCCGGTTCATGGATTATGTCGCGAATCTACAAGCTAATGAATGACAGTGAACATTGACATCGAACCAGAGGGACCCGAGGATACAGCACCCCCGTTAGTGTTCTGCACAAGCCATGGCCTACACACCATTCCTGGCCCCGTCGCTCCAAACTACGCAGCATACCGTAGGTGAGGTATATGAATCAAACGAGCGGCCAAATAAAGGTGCGAATATCCGATTGCGTGCTTCGCTGCATAGAAGCTTGAGAGGTCCATTCTTCCTGATAATGTGAGTGATTTATCGCCCCCGCTGCTGCGCTATATCAGTTATTTGCGCCAATTCATGTGCCCCAGAACACGAATACCATTACTAGATTCATGCCATTGTACATAGGAGCAGCCCGTCGCCACCCGTGAAACATCCTTGTGGGGAGTCCTTTTATCGTCGGATCCAGATAAGGCCAAGGCGTCACTACGACGCGTGCTCTATCGCGTCTTCCGCCCTCGACCTCACCGCCTTCACACTGAACGGCGGAGTGTATGAACCTCTGGCCGTCCGTATCGCGAGGTCCTAACCCCATGACGACTGTACAATTTCCTGTCGCAGGTGGTTCGTCACGCGCCTTTGGCTCTCAGAAGTTGCCCGGTGCACCCAGCGCAGCTTCTTCGAAGTGACAGCCGGAGAGTGCGACGAACTGGAGACAACATCATGTCAACATGGCATGGATGGTGACTGCATTGATGAAGACAATTGTAAGTGATCTCGTCGGTAAGATATGACCACGAAGCTAATTGATCGTCTCGTCTCAAGCGAACATTCTGCGAACATTATGAACAGGTAAGTCATAACAACTCGTCCAAGTGGTAAGCCTAGCTGACTCGGATCGTACAACAGGAGGTCCCTCAAATTCACTCATACTCGAGTAGAATGTGAAGCGAACAAGTCATGTGGAAGTGATAGACAGCATGCGATCGCATCGGTATAGGGGACCCGAGCAGACAAGAGCATCGATGATGAGTCAATGTAAGGTTCAGATCGTCTCGGCCCTTCTCTCAGTCGACTCCGTGCATCAGTCATGTGCTGATGTGTCTACCCGATACGAAGTCCAAGGCACAACGGGCTTATACCACAGTGTGTCTTGGCGTTCGAACACTGTGAAAGAATAGCCTCGTGGATCGAATTCCTGGCGTCCAATGGGCGATCCGCATTGTTCTCGGTTGGCATCTCGCGTCCTTTTCAGTCCTGGAACTCCAAACGACCCGAGGAATGCTGGTGGTTTTGTCTTGCTTCATGGCAGGTGAGCCATACCTTCGCAGACAGCCAGATTGTTAGTCCAAGTCTGTGTGCAAGGAGAAGGTGAGGCAAAGGCCCCGTCATATCGAGCCCACAGATTAACATTGCCATATCAGCTACGAACTGAGAGAGGAGACGGTCTGGTCCCGAGTCACAGCCGAGCCAACCAAAGAGCCACGAGCTACGAATCACCGACCGATACTGTTCTATCTGATCCTATTCCGCGTTGCTGAGCCGTACGACATATTCGAGCGGGTGGAAACGAACGAGCGAAAACGAACCAATCGAACATACACGACGCTGCATCAAGGGCACTGTCACAAAAGTTGTGGTGTCTTTGGACATATGTTAGGTAGATTTGATGCCTACGCACGCTTTTTTCTATCCAAGCCCGAGCAACATGTGCAAAGGCCATCTACCTTGAATATCACCGCAGCTGCAGGTCAGTCAAGCCGAGGACGTGTATCATTTTCTCACTAAAACCGTCTTCTAACATATCGCGCACAAGCAGCTCTTGCCAGGAGATGGCCGAGTTCTCTGCGTCCCCTACGTCCCCTGTCCTTAAGCATCAAGTATATATTTGCCAAACTCACCGCGCCCTGGACGACATTAGCATATCACTATTCGGACAGATCCTTTGTGAAGGTGGCATTGATGTCCGTAACAACACTACTAAGAGCCATCCGGCTGTGGTACCTCTTTGACCATCTCCTATACCTTCACTGAAACTCTACTTCTAATCAGCGCTCATATGATTGCTTTCGGGGGAATAGGTTAGATATATGCGTGCTACAATTCCAAGTCAACCAAAGTACCACTTGCGTGGATATATTCTCATAAAGGCCCGTCGTAAATGTTGGCGGAGTCGTCTTTACCAGATCTGCTCAGGATGGCGCTTACTAATCCCGATCGGCTTCAATAGTGTGCTCTCAGCAGCAGAGCATGCTTGATCGCATAAACTTGGGTATTACGCCCCAAAAAGCAATGGCCATCGCTTTGAGTGCAGTGGTGGATGCTGATACATGGGAGATGGGCAGGCGATATAAATCGTAGTTGCTGACAGGATTATTCACAAGGTTGCGACGGCTCCTAGTTGTAGAAGGAGCCGATCAGATATTCTCAAGCTAAAGAAGCCTAAATTGGTTGTCTTTGTTGCGAATCCACTTTGACTATCGCGACCGTTCTGGATATAGGCATTCTATAGTAGAATAGGGTTGAGTGACTTCAATCGCCGATTAAAGCAATAACTTTGATTACGCAAGGAACAGTCTATCGCTAAGTTGAGACAACAAATTGTATTTCGAGTGCTTCTCATCAAATGCTTCTACACCTGGTAGGCCTGACCTTAAGTGTATTGCCTATTTTAGCTGAACCGACGGAAATCCGGTGTTTGCATTCACCAGGTCAATCAAATTGGAGACTGTATACGAACTTCACCGAGTGACCACCAGGGAACAAGAAATAACGCAGAATTGACACAACAATGAAACTGATATCTCTGTCATATGGGTGAGATGGCAAGAAAGAGCTCGCGCGAAGGCCGTGAGACGTTGACCACTCAACTTCACCGCCCGGCCGTGTACCACATCAACACCCTCGTCAACGATTAATGTTCATCAACGTTCATTAACGACCATCAACGATCATCAATATTCACCAATGTTTATCAACGATCATCGACGTTCATCAACGTTAATCAACGCTCATCAACACATCCGCGACGCACCCAAACACTCAAGTCTCTATTCGCTCTGCGCTCTGATCGCAGATGCATTCTATTGCGGCGGATAGATTAGCAGATCGCAAACTATCAAGGCAGGAGGGTGGGGAATACGGCGCTCGATAGCGAAGAAGATTCAGTCGTGAATTTACGATTCTGGTGATCGATAGGCATCTATCTAGCGCTCACTCTATCTCTCCAAAGATGATACTTCGGAATACGAAGAAGATGAAGATGTTGTACAGGTCTTTGCTTCTTCGAATGCCCTTGGGCTACTCGAATACTAGTCCCCAGCACCACGGAGAGGTGCCTGTATATCGCTAGGGAGCGATGACAAGTCCTTGGCGAGCCAAGTCTTGCCATGACTGAGCACGTTTTTACAGTCATAGGGCTCATTGGCTGTGAGGGAGCGTAAGTCTTACATCGCTGGGCTCGTGGCAGCGACAGCCGTAGTCACGGAAGCTCTGAAGTCCTTGGTTTCGCAGCACCCCCCTGCGAGGATTATTGTTGACGCAGACCTATCCTGCGAGACACAGTTGTTGACGCAGAGCCTATCCTGCGAGACACAGTTGTTGACGCAGAGCCTATCCTGCGAGACACAGTTGATAACGCAGAGCCTATCCTGCGAGACACAGTTGATAACGCAGAGCCTATCCTGCAAGACACAGTTGATAACGCAGAGCCTATCCTGCGAGGCACGGTTGATAACGCAGACCTATCCTGCGAGGTAGTCTTGTTGACGCAGCACCTCCCTGCGAGGAATATTGTTGACGCAGACCTATCCTGCGAGGTAGTCTTGTTGACGCAGCACCTCCCTGCGAGGATTATTGTTGACGCAGACCTATCCTGCGAAGCACCTTCTTACACTCGCGGGGCTCATGGCAGCGAGGGAGCACATGTCTTAAATCGCTGGGCTCGGAGCAGCGACAGCCGTGGCCACGGAGACACTCAAGCCCGCAGGCAAGAGAGGGACACCATGACACATCGGAGTGTGAGGACCGAAGTCCTGATTTTTTTTGGGCTGAAAATCTCGCTCCTTTTATATTTTTTCGGCTACGTCTCTACCAAGGAACCAGTTGCGCAGTTGGTAGCGAGAGTCACGGTTTCGTTATTGGCGTTGAAGACATTTGAACAACGTTGAAATGGTCTTTGGAGACTTTGTGGCCTACAGAGTCAAGTCTCGACCTGGAATCATTCCTTTCAAAAACCTGCGTTGAGTATGGTGAACCACTTCATCAACTGTTGAAAAGACAGTGATACCGCAAGAATATGATTCTCACATATCATTGAATTTGCAATTAAATCGCTCAACGCGGTGGCAGACTACTCTGCGCGTTTTGACCATGGTCACTAGCGACGGTCACCGTCTCATGATTTTAATGATCGTGAGATTAACTTTCTCCTATGACTTGAGTCCAAGGGTCCTTCCTTCTAGGTGCACTAGAACATGTCATTGTTCAGTCGCTTTGGAAACCTTTGCTTTGCGTCAAACATGAAAGGGCGTGAATGAAAATCAATCGAATGCCTCGCAGCTCTAGAGTTTAGACCACCCTGCTTTCGAGCCACCCAACCAATCAAATAAATTCAGACCTCTGGACTCCAACCAAGCTTACTCCTGCGAGTCGATAATAGTCCA